AGATGGACCATCTGAGACATAGCCGCGGCCAACATTTGAAAGCGATAATCTGTAGCAAATGTCAAAGAATGTTCATTCGAATGATAAAAAACATATCCCATTAAATTTGAAGTTTCTGTGTTTTTTCTTTAAAAAATACGTAACCTCGAAATGGATCACCCTTTTTTATAAAAAAAAAATGTTATCATTTGGCTATGGCGATAGACGTCAAGCRTGAACAAGTTTAACGTATTACTGTAAGACAAACCTTAGTTAGAAGATATCTTGTCATAGCTCATAAAATCCAATATCCTCGACCTGTATATTTTTGTATGTACTTCCCTCATATCACTGCTCCCTAGAATTTCGTACACTTAAGTCAAAAAATTTGTCACTAATATGTAGTACCCTAATTTAATCAAAACCTCCGTTAATAACCCCAAATTTGTAACCTCTCACCAGATCAACGCCTACGAATGCGTCTGTCAGCCCGGCTACACTGGTATAAATTGTGAAATYGATATCAACGAATGCGACAGTAATCCCTGCACGAAGGGCTCGACTTGCAACGACATGATCAACAATTTCACCTGCTCTTGTATACCCGGCATGACGGGCCGCTTCTGTGAGAACGATATYGATGACTGTATCTCGGCGCCTTGTCAACATGGCGGCCATTGCATAGACGAATTGGGCGGCTTTCATTGCGATTGTGCCAACACGGGCTATGAGGGTCAACTCTGTGAATTAAATATCGATGAATGCGAATCGCAACCCTGTCAAAATGGCGCTGCKTGCATAGACGATATAAATGATTACCGTTGCAAATGTTATCCGGGTTATATGGGCAAGAATTGTGAAATCCATATTAATGAATGCGAAAGTAATCCGTGCTTGTATAACGGTAATTGTTTGGAACGTTCGAATATAACATTGTATGCGCTAAGTCAAACRATGGATTTGCCAGAGTTCTTTAGTCGTCAATTTTCCTATGAGAATGCGAGCGGGTAAGTTTGGTTGGAGGAWTGTGAGTGGTGGATATTTTTTGATTTTACCATTTTTAGGTATGAATGCGTTTGTGTGCCAGGTATTATGGGCAAGAATTGTGAGATCAATATTAATGAGTGCGAAACGAATCCGTGTGGCAAACATGGCACCTGTAATGATGGTGTAAGTTTTAGGAATAGTTTTATTCGAAGCAAGGGTCTTTGAATTTTGAATATTTCCAGATCGGCACGTATACCTGCGATTGTGACCCSGGCTTCGAAGACCGTCATTGCGAGACCAATATCGACGAGTGCGACCGGTAAGTGCTGAAGTGAAGAATAGGTGAATGTTTGTAAAGAAAAAGTTTAAAAATTTTGTTGGAGTAATCTTGRTTTATAATACCAATCAGTCTTTAGGTACAAAAGATTATTCCATATTACAAAAATATGACTTCTCAGTTTTTTAAATCTTACTCTCAATCAAACGATTTGGAAATTAGTGTATGGTAACAAATCGAAAAATTCGGTGAGATGTCTCCAATATTAAGTGATCTGGATATATGTAATACCTCATATGAGCTTTGTGAGGTAAAAAATTTGACCATGGCAGCTAAAATGCAGCTTGAAATAACGAGATTGAGAGATGCACAGATTTCGCTTAAGTCCAGGGTCCAGAGTCCATAAGATTCGTTACGCCGACCCACTTGGTAGGTTTCCTTCATAAATAAAGCATGTTCTGGACATCTAACCATCCCATAAAAGAGATGCCTTAGAGAAACCCAGTTCGCCACATTGCTTCTCATATATATCCTCACTCATTTCAGTTCGTTCGTTTTGCGACTTTTATTGAGACCGAAGGCTCGACATTGTAACTCTGTGGTTCGTTTATTGAAGCGTTCCGTTTGTTTGCGAGACCGATAGGCTCGAGTCCGTATCTCATAAATCTCATGTTTTAAATAAAATATTTTCTATGTATAGCAACCTTTTTTCTTTTCAAACTGCTAATCCGGATCTTGAATCCAAATGGATGGTACAGGATTGTCCGGAAAGTAATAGGACTGATTTTCTTCCGGCGCAAGTACTTCGGAGCATGCGCGCACCGACTGGATTCGGTAGAGAGCATACCTAGCTAACGAACGAGCGTCTGGTCAGTTGTTTTCGAGCACCTAGAGAGTCAGGACAAACATTTTCGCACGACGTAATTCGGTGAGTAATGCAAGCCGACAAGATATCGCAGTCGATTGGTCCTACAGCCCAGATGTGGCCCCGGACTTTTTCTTTCTTTCTTGCCTGAAAAGGTCGATGAAAGGCTATGCATTTTGAGATGACAGAGGGGATCCAAGCAGCATTCACCTCGGCTCTCAAAGCTATTCCGGAGAATGCCTTCCATSACGAATTCAGTGCTTGAAAATCGCGCTGGCAGCGCTGCATTGAGCAGAAGGAACCCATTTTGAAAGGTTTTAAAGAGTTGTAACGCTTGGTACATTTTGTTAAATGAATTCAGTCCTATTACTTTCCGGACAAACCCTATATTATGTAATATGTACAAATCTAACTTCGAACTTCGTTAGTACCTTTTTTTATTGTGAGGATTTGCATACTCACGATTTTGATGCGCTGCTGGATGATCTCAAGGTCCTAACTAAAAGTGAGGATTATGATGAGGATATAGGATCAGCTATAATAACTTTCTTGTAGCTCCTTATATGATTTTTTCATTTACCTCTCTTTCACATCCGAAGGTATCAACCCTGTGGCGCACACGGTACCTGTATCGATGAAATCAACGACTACACTTGCGATTGTGATGCCAATTACGGCGGTAAGAATTGTTCGGTGCCATTGATAGGTTGYTTGAGCGCACCATGTCAAAATGGTGGCAATTGCAAGCCATATCTAGTCAACGAAACCGAGCATCTCTTCAACTGCACGTGTCAACATGGTTTCCAAGGAGATATTTGTGAGAAGACAACAACGATTTCAATGGTTGTGAGTAGTTTAATAACGGTGAAGACGCAACGTGAAGAGGGTTACGATATAAATCTACAATTCAAAACCACATTACCCAACGGTGTACTAGCTTTTGGCACATCGATCGGACACAATGAACCCGTTAGCTATATATTGGAACTGATTAACGGTCGCCTGAATTTACACTCTTCGCTACTCAATAAATGGGAGGGCGTCTTTATCGGCTCCAAATTGAACGATAGCAATTGGCATAAAGTATTCGTCGCTATTAATACTTCGCATCTGGTGCTCTCAGCRAACGATGAGCAAGCCATTTTTCCCGTGGGTTCGTATGAGACCGCAAATGGCAGTCAGCCATCATTTCCGCTCACATATTTGGGCGGCACAATACCGAATTTGAAATCATATCTACGCCATTTGCCGCATCGTCCGTCGAGCTTTGTCGGCTGCATGCAGGATATTGTCGTTAATGGCAAGTGGATCTTTCCCGAGGAGCAAGGCAACGAAATAGATACGAATTTGACGAATATACAGGCCGGTTGTCCGCGCACCGAGCAATGCATACCGAATCCATGTCATTCGAATGGCGCATGCACGGATTTGTGGCATACATTCTCGTGCACTTGTCAGCGGCCGCACTTCGGGCACACCTGCAAATACAGTGGGTTAAATKGAATTTGATTTAAGTGRYTTCCAAAAYTTTTCAYAACACTTTTTATTTGTGTTTCGACAGACATAACTGCCGCCACATTTGGCCACGAGAACACCACACATTCTGCTGTKGTTGTGGAGACGAACGACTCGGCWCGTCGTGCCATACGTTCCATACTTGATATCTCCATGTTTATACGCACACGCGAGCCTACTGGCCAGGTCTTCTATTTGGGCAGCGATCCAAAGAAGATCACACCAAAGGGAGCAAGTAAGTATTTACGCSTATTAATTGTTTCTAAATACACAAATGATGTGAGTTGGATCAATAAGAGCTACARCTATTTTWTGCTGGACTTGATTAGAGCTTCAGGTTAAGTTSTTTGTTTGTTGAGRGCTTAACCATAMCTTTTCTATACCGAATAAGTCAGTTTTTAAGTTGTATATATGAGGTAGTCCTGAAAACTACTGTCTAAAACTCCGTAAAATATATATTCCACCTGATTCTGTAGTCCTATAGTGAACTTGAGATTTGAAAACTTCGTTTATCCTATTTCCGATGATCATAGAACTCGGACTGAAGGATGTGAAGACGCCTGAATTCATAATACGACTTTATAACCAACACAGTACTGAAACTTATTGATCCAATTCACATAACCTTAATATATATACACTAAGTATTCTTACCCTAGATTACCTTAGATCCTTTTTTAATTTATTTCTATACCCAACAAATCTTTTAACCTGTTAATAAAATTTCCACTCTTCAACTCTCTTAACTTTGAGAGCGTTTTAAAACCAAAAATCTCTTTTTTAAAGCTGACACTGGCGAATCATATGTAGCCGCCGAACTGCATGGCGGCGAATTGCTGGTAAAAATGCAATTTAACGGTACGCCCGAGGCCTACACTGTMGGCGGCAATAAGCTTGATAACGGCTACAATCATCTCATCGAAGTGGTGCGCAATCAGACGCTCGTACAGGTTAAACTCAATGGCACTGAGTACTTCCGTAAAACGCTCTCCTCCACTGGTTTACTCGATGCGCAGGTGCTCTACCTCGGCGGMCCACCAGTTGGCGARCAAACACAAGCGCCAACAACTACTGGTACAGATCCAGCGTCYGCKGGGCCCGAAGAGAATGTCGTAAATAATGAGGTCGATGAGAAGGAATAYTTCAAGGGTATCATACAGGATGTGAAAGTAAGCAATGGCTCACATACGATGATCGTCGAACTGTATCCCTTGAATGAAGATGACTTGCTCTTGCCGCCCTCGTTCGGTGTTGTTACTATCGATCGTACATCGGTACTAAAAGGTGAAGTAACCGATGATTTGTGTCGTAAAAATCCTTGCAAGCACAATGCCGATTGTAGGAATACTTGGAATGACTATGTATGTACCTGTCCGAATGGTTATAAGGGCAAGAATTGTCAAGAGATCGAATTCTGTCAATTAGTTCAGTGTCCGGGTAACAGTAAATGTCAGAATCTCGACGATGGCTATGARTGTCTGACGAACATCACATTTAAGGACAAYGAAAAGAATCCTTTGGCGTTCAYTTACTTCGTAGAGCAAATGCCGGATGAACCAAAAATGTTGGTACAACCGGTTATAGAGATCGCGTACAGAACACGCGCTGGCGGTACACTATTTTTCATAGAAAATGGTGAGAGCTTCTTTGAAATCGGCGTGAATCAAGGACAAGTGACGGTAACTTGGAAGTTGAATCAAGAGGCATTTGGCGATACCAAGCGCTTTACCAAAGACACATCCGATTCCAGTCTTATGGAGACGACGAACGAACCTGGGTACGTTTTGAGAATTATGGGAAAATAAATTGAAAATTATTTTTAATATTTTTTTCCTCTATTCAACAGCTGGAACCGTATTTATCTACGCGCGCAAGGCGGCAAACTCGAGGGCGGTTGGAAGGGTTGGGAGAGCATGGTCGATCCGTCGCCCGCTTTCTCCGCAGACATCGATCAACAGGCTTTCCAAGAACTACTGTCCAGCGACACTCAGGTCTATCTCGGYGGCATGCCCACTGATAGTCGGCAAGCGCGTGGCAGCAGTTCAGCACAGCAGGGCTCTCAATTCAAGGGTTGCTTGGGTGAGGCACGCGTTGGCGATCTCTTGTTGCCTTACTTCTCGAACGCCGAGATGTATCCACGCACTGAGAACGTTTCGGTGCAGCCCCACTCACAATTCCGTCTCAATTCGACCAAACCGGATGAGGGTTGTGTGCTGTGCTTTAATACGGACTGCAAGAATGGTGGTTACTGTAGTTCACCATCCGAACAGTATGCCTGCACGTGTCTGCCTGGTTATGAGGGGGAGGACTGCGGCACCGATATAAATGAATGCCTGAATGCGACTTGTGAGAATAATTCGACTTGCATTGAYAAAGTGGCCGACTTCCAATGTMGKTGCTTGCCGGGCTACGACGGTCGCTTGTGTGAGCATAACATTGATGAGTGCGCCTCRCAGCCCTGTCATAATGGTGGCAATTGCACGGATTTAATTGCCGCCTTCCATTGCGACTGTGCGGAGGAATATGCGGGWGCGCAATGTGATTTCTTGAAGCAGGTCACCTGYGATAATTTGCCCTGCCGCAACGGTTCGACTTGCGAGGATGGATTTAGTAAGTGCAAATTTATTTCATATCCAAAAACAACTGCGGTTTTGCGAAAACTAGAAATTTCAGTTAAGGCAACAAGCTAAAAAGTTCGAACAAGTTTTGATGTAGGCAGAAAGTCTGTTGGTTCTCCTTTCCCGAGTAAACAAAATATTAAAATGCTAGAGCGCACACAGTTCGGAAAGCTCATGTAGAAAGAGAAAGTTTTTATCCCACATGAGTCTAGTCTAATGATAGGTATTATTTAAGACAGGGAGGACAAAGGAGGTTCCGGAAATCTTATTATTGGCAATTTCTTGTATTAGAGTTATCACTAATGTACGAAAATTCAAGCAAAATCGTATAACAGCCATCCAAAAGTTTCAAWAACTCATTATTTTMATTATTTTTTAAAATAGGGTTGCCACCTTTTCAAAAAATATGAACTGTGACATTATAACGTTCGTTCCAAGTGGTTGGCGTTAAGGTGGCCTGGCGGAAAATATTGTAAAAAAAAACTCAGTGTTACACATTTTTAGGAGAYGCGTTGCCACATTTCAAAAAACACTGACAAATTTAAGATTTTTCTAAACAACTGTTATTACCTAATAAATTTATGGCTATTATTTTTCTAAACACAGATGCCAATACCAACAACAATTTCACATGCAACTGCTTGCCTGATTTCGAGGGACCCTATTGCGATGTGCCATTCTGCGAAACGACGCCGTGTCAAAATGGTGGTCTCTGCATATTCGCCGATGCCTACGTAAGTMAACTCTATGTCACTTTACATTGATGAACTTATTAAACTTTACCTTACAGACACCACTGTGTCAGTGCAGTTTGGGTTACATGGGTCACCTATGCGAAAAGGATATCAATGAGTGCGAACCCAATCCATGTCTCAATAATGGCATGTGCCACGATCTCATCGGCGCCTATCAGTGCAACTGCACCGGCACCGGCTTTGAGGGCAACAATTGCGACATCGATATCGATGAATGTGCCTCGGGCATTGAATAYTGCGGCGGTTTGGGACGCTGCATCAATTTACCGGGCTCATTTAAATGCATCTGTCAGGATGCCTTCTGTGGTGTGTATTGCAACTTTACCGATCCGTGCAAGATTGGTGAGGGTTCACCGTGCATGAATGGTGGCAGCTGTCTGGAGGCGTGCGGCGATGAAGCGGACTATACGTGCACCTGCAAGGCCGGCTATGAGGGCAARGACTGCACGGTGGTGGTGAGTGTGAGCATTAACAATAATTGAGTTTTGGAAATTTAACATTTTTTCCACAYACACGCACGCAGATGGCTGCCAAAGATGAGGGCCCGTCCACCGCCGACATCGCCATCATTGTCATACCCGTGTTGGTGGTGTTGTTACTTATCGGCGCGGCGCTGTTGGGCACATTCTTGGTTATGGCGCGCAATAAGCGTGCGACGCGCGGCACCTACAGCCCCAGCGCGCAAGAATACTGTAATCCACGGCTGGAAATGGATAATGTGCTGAAGCCACCGCCAGAGGAGCGTCTAATTTAGTCGTTGAAAGTTAGTTAGCTTTCGTTTTCGTTTTCGTTTACATTTTATTTATAGTTAATGTTGACTTGACACGTAAGTGATGTATGAAAGCCGTAACACCGTTACTATAAAGTCTTTATCCGCCCATTAAGTATAGTTTAAAGAGTAAGGAGTCCAGACATATGTAAGTGTTTAAACGTACTAATAATGAAAAATTGCTCACTGAAGCTGCTTGGAAGACATAAAGCGCTTTAAAAATATTAMACTTGCTCTTAATTTCGTGCATTCGCTTGTTTTGAGCGAGTTGAAGCCAGCGTGCCCTATCCTTACGAATAGTAATAAGCAGAAAAGCTTTTTAAAAATTGCAACCCTGTCCTGAAAAGTAAGGAAAAACAATATTTAGCTAACGGGTGTCAATTTTTGGAGAATTTGGCGTAGATTTAGGGTAAATAAATAAATTAAAAACTATTTAACTTTAAATAAAATTAAAATATATATTTGATATAATGTAACTAGTTAGCTCAGACAACCTGTTTATGTGCTCAGTTCAAACACAGCGTACTTTCATAGACATATACATACATATTTATAAAGTTATGCGAAAAAAAAACATAAAAAATAATTTAAAGAATATTTATAGTTAAATAGTTGTAAGGTTTAAAACCTCAGTATTGTGTTTAAATGCCAAGTGAGCAG